GGGGGGGGGGGGGGGGGGGGGGGGGGGGGGGGGCAGCTCTCGTTTACTCCGCGATTACCAGCGGTGGTACATGGCGAGGGTCTTCGAGAGGAAGGTCAACTCACCATGGGTCTCGGTCTCTCACGTCCTACCGACACACTCTCGTAATCCGTGCTCCTGGCAAACGCCACCTAACTCCCCGCTCTACAACGCCGTACTTTTTGTTCTTGTCTTCCCTTCAAATCAGCGCTCACAGCATCTCACATAGACACATTCATTCCTTGCCACTCCTGCCCTCCTGCTCACCTCTGCCACCTCTGCCTCCATGCCGAAATGCTGCGGGAAAACGTACTCCGGGACCGCATCCGGCAGGTTGGCGTAGTCCACGAAAAGGGCCTTGGACGGTGTTTCCTTCTCCGCCGCCAGCGCGAAGGCGCACATGGCCTGCGTCCAAGGGACGATGCGCGAGGTCGGAAGGGGGTATGCATATGTACCGACATACGGCATACTATGGTACTGGCAAATGCATACGGCGTGCTACAGTACCGGCATATGGATACGGCGTACTACAGCAGTACCGGCACACGACGTATTGACTGCCTGGGACAAGAACGGCGCAAAATACAGCGGCGACAGCGGACTACAGACACCTACCCCGCAGAGCCGCGAGAGAGGACAGAACAACCATGGCCAAGACACGCCAGAACACGACCAACTACGGCTCAACCCACACCGCCAGTAGCCTCCACGGCCTCTATTGGCACCCCGAACGGTACCAGATAATGACAGAAAGATATGTAGTACCGTCATATTTTGTTTCCATATCTTCTTCCCCACGACGGCAGAACACGATCGACCACGGTTCGACCCACACGACTAGCGGCCTTCACGGCCTCTTTCGGCACCCCGAACGCTACCAGAAAATAAAGGCTGAAGAATAGTAAGCCATATGTTGTTCTCTGGCAAGCGTTTTCTCTCCCACGATTTTCACAACGGGCCGTCCTCTCGAGAACGCGTCTTAGATGGCCCAGCAGCAAAGGCAAGGGTAACACGAGCACGCCCCCACCGACTCAAGAACGCCACGCCCCGACTGACCGCCACAGCCGCGAGAACAGGGAACAACCACCTCTTCGTGGACACTTCGACCACGTCTGGAGCGGTATCACGTCATCGGTTGCTCTGGTCGACCTCTTAAAGTTGACCAACAACAAAAAAAAAAAATCGTTTCCGTCGATTGGACTTTCCCGACGTGCACCCAACTCACCTGCAGCCAATTAGCGCACTCCATGGTCATGTTCATGGTCAGCATTTGCCCCGTTTTCTTGGTTGCGAGCGATCGTCGCCTTTCGTCCGCACCGAAGGCGGCGGATTCCCAAGGCGACGGTTCAAAGAGGGCAGCAGAAGAATATGCCGCCGGATACAACGGCAAATCCGACGACTCGATACCCCCGCTGATGCCACCGCTCCAAGAAACGCTGGCGTAGAAGTCGCTGTCCCCGTCCTCCACTTCCTCTTCCTCCTCCTCCTCCTCCCATACGACGACGCCCGTGTCACGTTCGGAGAAGGCATCATCGCCCCCACCCCCACCCCCCGCCGCTACCCCATTCGCAGTCGCCGTCACTCCCTCCCCTGGTGCACTTCCGCCGAGCACCACCGCCGCTTCGACAAGACTCCGCGACCTCTTTCCCCCTCCGCGTACCCCCTCAGGCTCGCGCCCCCAGGGCTCACTCCCCCGCCCCCGCCCCCGCCCGAACTTCGGCCTCGTCTTCTGCAGAGCGGCGGCGTCCCGCGCAGCCTTCGACTTCAACATCGCGGGTTCTCCCCCCCCTCCAAGCTTCTTAAACTTCCTGCTGGCCTGCTTCCTCAGCTTCTCTTGCCTGGGGATGCGGACGCACGGGGCCCCGGCGTAGGACTTGAGGTTGGAAACCATCACCTCCACGGGGTCACGGAAGACGAAGACCCAGGGAACCTCGGGGTAGGCCTCGGAGATCTGCGACACGAATCTGCGGAGCGGGAAGAAAAAGAAAAGGACGAGTTATGACCCATACTTAATTCTTGGACGTCAGTCATGTTGTTGTTGAAACCTAAATTTCGGTATTTTCTCTGGACGTGGAGAGTGAACATGCAGCCCATTTGTTTCTGGCCGGCAGTCTCATCTTTACAGCCTTACTTTCGGTACGTTATCTGGACGAGAAGCGTGATAAAAAGGCGATCCTGTAGACCCATATATATTTAGACGTCCAGTCTCTTTGTATTGAACCTAACTTCGGTACGCAATCCGTACGTGGAGAGTGAAAATGGAGTTGGAACGATATGTAATTGTGAACGTCAGTCTTTCGTTTGAACCGAAATTTCGGTAGTTTTTTTCTGGGCGCATCAGGCGGGTTAGGGTCACACAGAAAGAAGGCCACACCAGGGCGTTTTGCACATGACGAAACCTCTTCGCATGCAGAACGCGCCGGCTCTTGGAGAAACTCTCACACGGCCCCCAAGGGTCGTTGCTTCCGTTCTCTGTGGGGCAACTCAACGATGACATTTTTGGCGTAGGATGCTTGGCTGAACACATGATCTTGTGGTGGCCAACTTCAAAACATATATTTTTTAAGGCTGGTTTGCATCGATGCGAAAAACATTAGGCAAGCGCGTGCCTTAGTTCATGTACCACAGGTATAACAATAAATACTTGCTTCGAGTTCTGGAACTTGAAGTAGAGGTGCTCGTGCTGCTCCCCGTTTCTTCTCCTGCCCATTAACGCCATCGTGTTGCGGAACATCTTCACCAGGAGGTGCCGATCGCACCCCGCCGTCAGGCACTCACGGATTGTCTGCAGGACGGAAAACGGAGAACAAGCGATCATCCCAACAGCAGGTGCACGATCTTCTAGAAAATGATGCTACGCATACATTCACAGAACGGCTGCCTAATATTTACCTGCTCGAGAACATTGGAAAGGGATGTGTTGTTCCAAGTCTTGCAGAACGCTTGCAGGGCCGGACTGGACTGATGCTGACTTTGTTTAAGCTTACACACACCGAGGGATCAGTGGTGCCAGCCCGCAAGGTACCCTTTAGCTCAAGGTATCACGTAGAATACGCCCTCCTTTTTCGCCCATACAAGCATACCACGCGTAGGGCATCCTTGTCAACAAATATACCATCACGTATCCTAGTCACAAATCTCCGCCAGATGGTCCCTCCATTACAAGTACTGTACGTATGGGGGGGGACGCCTGTTAGGACTTTCAGACGAGGAACAGAACCCGCTCGGCACATTGCATGATCACGCCGTATTTCTCTACTGTGAACATCATCCAATTGCAAAGCCCTCTCATTATTTAGATTCGTTTCGAGGACAAACCGTTTCACATAACTACTCCAACGAGGGCTCCAGGAACGACCCCAAAACAACCGTTTCGAGCAAAAACCACGGGGGTAACTGCGTCCAATTACCCCGACCAACGGCATACAACTTCCCACCGCCACGGGCCCGCACACACACGCAAGAAACCAACCCTTCCATGCACCCACCTGTGTGGGCGGCTTAGATTCGGAGAAGACGCGGCTGGGAGCTAGCGTGGCCAGCATGTTCGCCACAAGGGTTGAGCCGCAGCGCGTCTCGTGGTAGATGAACCCCTTCGGAGGCAGCGGCGCCCTTCCCTCGTCCGCCATCGATTTCTGACGGTTACACGGCAGACAGGCAGGCATCGCGCCGCGCGGGTGCGGTTCAGACCGAGTGGTTACGCGATCGTGAAGGCGAAAAAACGGGGAACATATATATATATATATATCTACACGGAGGTGGGAGAGAGAAAATGCGACATCGGCAACGGGGAAAAATGGTGTGTGGTTGTTGGGGGGTTCTGAGGCTGCGGCTTTGACATAGGGGGGGGAGCTAGCGCGTCGAAGGA